TACATACATTTTAGCATTTCCATTGTGGAAATTATTGTATACATACACGTTGCGTTTATAGTAAGCTACCGAAACAGAAAGTTTTGGATAAGGAATCGCTTTTTCTAGGTCAAATGTAAATCCGTAAATTTCTTTCGGGTTATCTTTTGTTTTTTGTATGTCATCTTTTAAACTTTTTCTAGCCTGTTCGGCACTTTTAAGATGTGAATCATGAATTTCCATAAGATGCAACTTTTCGTCCTCATTACTGGATGATTCAATTTTTAGTTTTATCGAATCACACTTTTGGCACGTGTCTTTACGAGGAATATGAAAATTTAGGTTGAACTCAGTATTAAATATGTTTCTATAAGTCTACTCCTTTACATATGATATATTATTTTCATCATATTTTTCCACATATAGCCCATACATTTTTCGAATATCTAAGTCAGCACTTAGATACTTTCGACCTGAAGTGTGACGTGATCTCGTGTAATGGCTCTCACATGCTGGAAAACTCTGAATATGATCTCGTACTACTTTAAGTTTTTCTTCATCTGTTTTTCTAGATGACCATCCATTCCAGGTTTTTCAGAATTTAAAGCACGGCTCAATCTTCCGTTAGATATTTTGAAAGTATCCAAAAAAATGTTTTGCAAACAGAAACTTCCGAATTTATACTTACATATAGATGAAACTTAAGACTCCATTTTCTCATATATCCTTTGTGATTTCTGGGGCGTTTTTGTTTTATTAATTGTTTTGTAATCAAACCACACAGAAACAGATTCTGTTTTTCGAAATTTGCTTTCCAATTTCCAAAAATAATCAAAATTATCTTTAGTTTTACTTCATCCTACCTGAACCACTATCTGAAGACATAATAAAATTACTTTGTGAACACACTGAGTTATACCACTATCAAAACCAAAAATATCTGTATTTCAGTTAACAACTAAAAAAATAAACGCATTTTAATGACTTAATTTGAATGGCATGCTGCTACTTTCTTCAGATTATATTATTTTATTAAGATTTGACAAGTAAAAGCTGATAAAGTAGATTTTTAAAATTTTTGACTTATACCACTTTCAGAATCATGGGCACAATTATTTGTTACCATATAGATCGTGTATATTTGTCTTGTGTTTTTATTCAGGTATATAAATTATGAAATTCGTTGACGAAAATTATATATTTGTTCAGAAGTGGGCCGCTCTCAGGTAGCGTCGTTAACTCGTGTATGTATCACCCTCTTCCAGTCGGCTGTTATGGACGGATGGTAAGTAAAATGGGTAGTTGCGGCCGGAATTTTAATAATGTTTGTATGTATGTATATATGTAGGGAAAATTTTTGGCCATGCTAATTTTCTTCGGCGTCAATGGTGTCGCTCAGCTGCGTTCAGTTTGTCCGACAAGAATGACAAAACTGCACAATGAAACGAGGAGAGAATGGCGTACACGTATACAAATGTAAACATCACGACGTTTGTCATTTCAGTCTTAAGAAAGTGATGGGAAAATCGTTCTACGAGCTGACAGCATATGTCGTCATGCATTCCTGGCATATGTTGGCTCAAATGATCGGAAGTCTTCTTGCAGGGGTGCTATGGCTGTGCAGTATGGTAGTTGGGTAGTTGCATCATTACTTTCATTTCATTCAAATTTTCCCAGCAACTTTTTCTCCAACCAAAATTGCGTTCTCTCATTGTCAATTCTTACAGAGTTTGTGGCTCAACGAACACGATCCAGTAAAGGTTGATAAAAATTGTTACTGCCCATCTGATCAACGAACAAAACTAATATCTTCCTTTGGGAGAGTGAAACATTTTACTCTCTCAATTTCTTTAGTCTGAGTTTACACTGGAATATTTTTTTCCCATATGGTGTCACCCTTTACATTCATATTTTTTGGTGAGAACAAGTTAAGAGTATAATCATAACCCAAGTTATTCACTGCAGATCTCTGCTAAACACTTTTATTGTCCAACTTACGAGTATATAAATGTGGAAGCGGAAGAAAGATACAAGTAAGGAATACTACTTTCGGATCGAATATTTGGAGCTCACTGTAAGTATTTTATTCCTCAATTATGATCATTTTCTGATAAATTCCTTAAATATTCGATTTAAAGTCCGCAGATTGTCGTTCCAAAGTAGAAAGTTCTTTATATGGGAGATGCGAAACAAGCGACAGCGACACGCTGAATAGGTCATTTGGTCCGGACGGATTAGAATACTTCAGCATAGAAAGTTTTCCATGCAGTACCAGCTGGTAAAGGCGGATGAAGTAGAAAACTTCCACTTCGTTCGAAAGACTAGATCGAGAAGGATCTCCCTATTTAGAAGAAAAAAATGAATGAAACGCTATTGTTAACTCGGCTATAATCGCGTAAGCAGTGTCTACACTAGTATAGGAGAAGAAGGTGTACTTTTGGACCTTCATAAATACGAAAGTAATTTTTACTAGGACTCTAGTCCCATTTCAAACGACAAATCTATCAATGTTGCTTGGGCTCAGTTGATTTAGCGTTTTGTAACCGCTGAGGCAATTATCGGCCGAGGTCTTCCTCTAAGTTGTGTTTTTGCGTCTTGATGTTTTTTCCAACAAATGGGGAGACCTACAGTTTATACTAAGCCGCCTCCGAACGGCCGATGGTTTTTTTACGAGGAGCCTATATTTCATGCCCGAAATACACTCGGAGGGGTTGACGTTCCCTGCCGAGGGGCGACCGCAGTTAGAAAATTTAGCTTAATTTTTTATTTAAATTAATTTTCTATATATTTTGGGTGTTGGTCGCACGGGGACTTGGTTTAGGAGATATATTTTATCACTCCAATTGCCACTCCTAACCGAAATATTTTTCCATTTAATTTGGTCATCCTTAATAAATACTACAAAACTATCGCGAATTTCGTACAATTCAAATTACCGCTATATGAGAGATGGGCGTAAACTTAGTCTGACTTCATCTATTACCAGTAGGGGGCCCAAGGAATACGGGAATCAAGCTTCATTCTAATATCTCAATCTGTACACCGACGGACACTTAGAAATGGCCAAATCTATTTTTCTCGTCATAGACGAAGTTTAATATACAATACTTATACTATTTCTTCATATCTATCCTGATTATTTTACGCCGTTAGATACAATCGTTAGCTGAACAACCGCAATATACTCTGTGCACATAATATAGCCGAGTATAAAATGACACAACGGAGTTTATCTGGATTTTTCTATCCAGCCATGGGATATCACGCGTTCGGCGAGTTAACCTCTTGGGTTTGCTAACAAAAATTAAAGTTTCAACATCCTGATCTGGGCTGGCATAGGAGTCTCATAGTAACAAAATTTGACCACTTCGATTAGCAATCCTCTCGACTATGTTTCTGAGAACGCCAAATCCACGTCATTGCTTTTTAGACCAGTTTTACGGAATTCACTGAGAGAGTAATCAAAGCCATTCTCATATCGACGGACGTAATTGGAGGCAAGTGCCAAGCTCACCAGATTATCAGGAGCGTTATAGCTCGCTTCACATTTCCGAAGGTTCTGATAATTGAGAAATCTTCTTTCTTTCTAACCCGACGAGGGGTGATGACCGGGTGGAGATTTCATTCGGTGACCATCGCTGTTCGAATCAGAACTGTGTGGGATATTGTAACCGGCTACCAGCGTATACCGGACCTGAATGTTAAGTACCGTATGCGCAAACTGTCAAACTCCACAAGAAATGTTTGATTTTTTTCAGGGTATCATCGGTTAGTCTAACGGCTCTAAGTTTATTGGCAGCAAACAAATAAAAAATCTAGTCAACTTATTGAAAGCTTAAGACTGAGTTTTACCAACATACATGTGTACAAAATCAAAAACTGTTGTAGAGGTTTTTCAATCTCACTTGGGGACAGACTGGTTAGTTCCACCCTGCGGGTTGGGGGTTCAAGAATTTAAGCGCGGTAAGGCATGCCTGTCGTAAGAGGCGACTTGAACCCAATAGTTCCCCCCACAGTCGGGTTTTTATACCGGAACGACCCGGATTTTTATCCGGCTTTGGAGGATATTTTTGTTTTTATAACAACAACAACAGACTGGTTAGTGTAAGTCACCAAGGCCATTGAACGTGAGGTCCAGGAAACGAGCTGTTTCGTTGGGTTCGAACCAGAAGAAGATCAGGGCTAGATGTGTCGGTTCTAGAGGACATGTAAAGGGGTGGTTAGTGACGTGTGCATACATGAAAGACATACGTGGGGTCGAGTCTGGCTAGGACAAGTTTAACCTGCTAAAATGTCCAGAACTAAGTTGCACCAGTATTACACGGGTCTTTCGAGGCAGCTCGTGCTCTTCGTCTGCTATGGGAGTGAAGGAGTGCAGTTTATTGAATTTGACTTCCACTAACTTTGGGCTGTTTGTGATCGGAATTTCGACGTCGTCGACCTTCACATCAGGTTCGAGCCAGTACTCTTTCGTCCAGCTGGTGAAAAGGGTAGCCGAGGATTTGGTCGGTAGTATTTGTAGTTGTCTTGAAATGAAGAATTTGGATAGATCATCAATATCCTGGCCAGAAGACAATATAGAGCAATCATCAGCATATGAGGTATAGGAGGAAGAAGCTTCGAGATATAAAAGTTAAACAGTAATGGGGAGAAGACACCACCCTGCGGTACCCCATGTTTAATCCTCCTGAGTTTCGATGTTTGACCTCGAAATTCTATCGATGATTCACGACCACTCAGGTAGCTTATGGTCGCCCTTTTCAGCCCCGGCGGTAATGAGGCTTTTGACAGTGACTGGACAGCTCTCGCACAAGACCGGCTTTGGTTGAGGCCATTTGTTATCTGAGTGCTTATGGAGTTAAAAGCTGTTGCTGTGCACTTTGCGGAAGCCAGGTTGATGTACTGCTGGAATCAGAAAATGTGTAAAACACATCAAAAGAAAAAAGAAAGAAATTGACCCGAATTTCATCTGTCACAGGTAACATTCAATTCAATTTCGGGTTTTGTTAATTTGTTCTGAATTTATTTGAATAATCATTACACATTTTTTTATACTTTTTTTGTTTTAATTTGCTACTACTAATTCAATCACTTTTAACGAATTTTTCTCTTTATACGATAGATCTTTTCAAATTGGCATAAGCATACATACATACTGAAACGCGCACGAAAAAACGTTATGATAAATAGGAAATAAATATTAATTTTAATATTGCTCCGACATAATAAGTACTACCAGTGAGGTCCAGCCCGTGAATGGATAACAGCCCTTGCCCTGTCCTGTGCTGTCATCATACTGCTCCCACAGATAACCGGTTCTTTTGTATTCTCGGTATATATTACCCACAACATTATCACGCAACTCGATGTAGATTGTACGTGCCAATGCGGAATATGGTCCCTCAATGGTACCGTAATGATGCAATGCTCTTATTGCCAGATAGTTGATATTTATCCAAATGGGGCCACGCCAATATGGCGCATCATGCTCGGTATTACGTTTCATGTACAATGGCGACTTCTTTGCTAGCGAGCGCAGACCATAATTAGTCCATAACATGTTGGGATCACGCAAATTCTTCAGTAGTTTGCCCAAATGCTCCGAGTCGTGATCGAGTATTTGTAAAAGGAATGGAAATAGATTTACATAACCATAAGTGGTATCGACAAATTGTTGTTCGGGCTGCTTCAGAGTCACGCGCACCTTTTCCAGTTGTTGTTGTTGATATTTTTTTAAATTATGTTTAGTCACTTGTGGTCGTTTCAATGCGACGGAGTCTGTGTGTAGACCAAAGTCGGCATAAGTATCGGTGAACGGACTTAAATGTTGTTTATTCAGTAACTTATTGTCAGCGAGGAAGGTAGCAGTCTCATAGTATTTAATACTATCTTTGCCAAGTAAATCGGATAGGTCACACATTACGCGCGCCGCTAACGCTATCCAACAACGTAGATCGACGTGGCGCTCGTAGTTGGTGGGGTGTGAGGCACGCGGAAAATCATCCAAGCCGGATGTGAGTGTTTTAGGATTCAATTCAGTCTCGCTGGAGGCATTACGGCCACGCCAGTAATATGTGCCTAGCGCATCGCCACGCTGAGTATTATTATACCAAGCAAACCAAGTTTGTAGGCGTGGATAGAGTCGATCTAAAACATTGAGACGACCTTTTACCGAAAGTTCCTTTTTATGATGTGTGAGTATTTTGTCCAATGTCAGGAAAAATGTGGGTGGATTAGCGTTGGTGTTGTGTTGCACAACAAATTCTTCTGGCACCTTAGCCAACGCCTCTACGCCTAAAATCTGTTCTCTTGGTATCCAACCTTCGATGTTGAGTAGATCGAACCAGTGGCACATAATATCTAGCGCTATGTCTAGGTCCCACGAGGATATGATGAGTGCCTGAAAGCCTTCGTCCCATAAGAAACCGCGTGGAAAGAATGAGCGCGACGGCACAGAAGTGTAGAGCGGTGCTTTCCAGTAGGGTACGGGTTTCTTGGTATACACAGATTTCACTCTACTCGCGCCATAGAAATAACCAATACCGCCTACAAGATTACTAACAGCGTATTTGGCAAATTTTATCTCGTTTACAGAATATCCTTTGGCACGTAAATGGAATGTATCCTCAAAACGATGATCGAACTCAGACAATTTTTCTTGCAATGCATTAGTAAATTCACGACCTGTAGGCGGCTTCGAGACATTCTCATTAGAAAATGCAGATGTAGACTGGTAAACAATATCAATGGTGAAATCTGCTTCGGCGGTTATATGTATGGCAATAAAATTGGGGCTCGCTGCTTGTACGCCATTTTGCGAAATCATTTCACCTGGCAGGCCAATAAATCGGTTTCCCAACTTGTCGGAAAATATACGAAAATGTGAGAAAACAGTATCCTTTAAATTGCTGAGCGAAGGCGCTATTGTGCTTAAATAGGACTTGTGTAATATTTTGCCTTTAATTGGTTGAAAGAGTACCTAGAAGATATTTTGTTAAATGATTTTTTAAAAATTTGTTTGTTTTCCATAAAAATTTAAAGCAACTAACCTTAAACTCGCCCAAACCAATCGTCTCGCCAAAAATGCCCGCCTCGGGGCTTTTCTCATGGGAGACATACTGTATATGTCCATTTGTACGTTCATCTAGTGCGACATACCAAATAAGTGATATGGTATGATCTGCAGTAATGTAGTAAGAATCTGAAGTTATATTTCGCACCGATATACGTGCAGTCCAATCACCACCTAATTTTCTACCTTCTGAAAATTTTATAAATGAAGTTTTCAACTCGAAGGGCGCATCTTGTATTTCTTGCACACCAAATGTACGACCATCATGCTGCGTCCAACCGTATGTACCCAAATTATCGTCTATTTCACACCAATGTCGCAAACCTCTGCCGCCATATCCCAGATTCATTGGTGAATACCACATTAGCCCCATAACCAATGAATGTGGATCGCGTGTTTTCATGCCAAAATATGTGAGCGGTCTATAGGAACCCCAATAACGTTCTGGATCGTCAAGACCGGAACGCGTTACCATCTTCTCATTATCAAATGGTGTATTAACACGAGTTTCCAGGTAACCTAAGTAGCAAAAGTATGAGGCAACCGCCAAACAAACACAGCCAATTAACGTTTTCCATTTATCTAACATTAGTTTCGGCCACAATGAGAAGCTGTTTCGTTTTTTATGTACCGCTTTTGGTTTGTTTGCACCAGCAGCGGATGAGGATATCGTACTAGAACTGGAACCACTATTACCACCGCTGCTATGCGTTGAGTGTGTGTCGCCCTTTTTGTGTTTTGCAGCATTTTTATTACTTTTATTATTTGTTGGTGTCTGCGGATTGCTGACATCAGATTTGGTTGCTTTATTTATGGTGTTATTGCTGTGGTTGGAATTTGTGCCCTCACCGGTTGTGTTAACATTTCGCCTCTGCCTGGCCATGTGTGTTTAGATGAATCGCTTTGACTGTTTAAGTGAACGTTTACTTATCTGTGGATCAAATAAGAGCAAAAAAGCTATTATGGAACCAATTTTTTTTGACATAGATTAACTTAATATTACCTAGAGCACCTCAGTAAACAAACTTAATGAAGTTTTAATTAAACTGTCTTATGAATAAAAAGTAGCTTGTTAACGGTAATTACTATTTCAGTTGTGCCAACTAATTACGTTTTTATCTCACTTTCAGTAGTTTAAGCATAATTTAGTAATTTTTTTGTTTCAATTTTGATGCCGTAAATGTCAAAAATACACAATTTTGCTTTGCAAAATTAAATTGCAGTGTCTCAAACAGAGAGCGTAAATACATACGTTATGTGCTCAATGCATTTAGGAGTGTTGAGTAACGACAAGTTCACTGCGCCATCTGTAGTTATATGTTGTTTTGTAGTACAAAATATATTGAAATCCCAATGAATTTAAGTATAGACATAAACCAATAATTTAATTTATCATTCAGAGCTGAAGGTGGAACATCTTAAATTTCATAAAATTCACCATTCTCACCAACGTGTTGAAATTGTCTCGAATACGAGAATAGAATACTCTGTACATGGTTCAGTTTGCTTGAACGAGCGCTTGTCGCACGTGAAGACGTCGGTTCAAATCTCACTGCAGGCAAATTGTTCCTAAATGTTGTTATTTGTTCTTAGATTTTCACAATCCAAATCCCTCTTCCAATATCCGCCACACGTTATTTGCTATTACTCTTGCATTTGCACGTGCCATGGAAGTTGCAGGGAGATAGAATTCTCGGAAGGAAGCCAATTAGTCGCGAATAAATTTCAATAGACACTTGGTGCCAACAAGATGAGAAACAAAACACTCTGACTTTTTGGAGGAAAAATATTTTTGAGTTCGCTCATTGCGCTGATATCCCAGATCATGAACTTTGGTTCTCAATGTTTGATGCAAGCACTTGTTTGCAACTAGACAGACTCGGATTTTTATCCGGTACAGAACTGACTCTCCTGCAATATACCCCGAAAACCAATTTGGGGAATATTTTTGCAACAACAACAACATGTAGTCCCAGTCCCAGCTCTGACTTTGCTTAAAATTTCTTCCCTCAAATCGAGCTACTCCTTATCATAATTGCACCGAAATACTTGACCGGGTTGCAGGATATTATGTTGGAATGACTTTAGGAAGATGGGTTTACTCTTTCGATACTATCAGTGACTAAAGCCACCGGCTGAAAATCACCGTCACCGATGAGTGACCAACCAGTACATGCTTTCGTGTTAGAGTAGCATCAATAAAATTCTGGCTAAAAGTCAAGACAAATATACATTCTCCTCCCTCTCTTTCACTTCGTGTCCTGCGAAGCACTTCGCAACGAACCCGGGTTTTCTTTAAAATTGTTCCAGAAGAGTATGACCATGTACTTTTACGTGTTTACAGTGATTTATTGACCCCTCGCAGCCCAACAATTTAAGATTTCAAGTTTCCTTTCTATTCTCCGTTGGAGATCTTCAAGGGCTTTACTGTGAGAAGCTAAGGTGCCACAGTTTTTGTTGCTGTAGCGGCTCTGTTATAGTAATTTTAACACCATCTCTGCCGTCAAGTCTCGCGCTCAGCACATTTCTGAACAGTGAAGTAAATTGAGAGCCCAAAGAAGGTCGTTCAAATCGGTACGGTTGTGTTTGCTGACTTGAAAGCTGATTTAGAGCCAATGAACGCAACGAAAGTGTATTCCCGTTATCAATCGATTTATTCTTGAAGGCCGCGTGAAATAAGAATGGCAAACGTTCGGTAGATAATGATTGCATTGTTGCTCCGAACAGCCGATGGTTTTTTATGAGAATTTTTTTATTTTAAAAACACAGCCAGGGGAGTTGAAATTCCCTGCCGACGAGCAGAAAAACTAATTTTCTATAATCTTTGGACGTCGGTGGGACCAGAACTCGAGCTCTGGCCATGCGAAACTTGAACCCTGGCTAGCCGAAATATGACTAGATGTATTTATTACATAATTGCAGCTAAAGTGTTCCTCGGTGGACGGTCTCCTTCAATTAGTGGGATATAATATTTTAACATCAACCAACAAATGGCGGGACAAACAATGTTTTCTAAGCCGCCTCTTAAAGGCTAATCGGTTTTATGAGGAGATTTTGGCCCATCTGCTAGTTAATTTATTCTCTTTTCGACTTGCCATTTCACAATGAGCACACTTATTCCGAAACAAACGCTCCCACAATAATGGTTCGGTTCGTGTGACGCATCTCGGACTGCGTCCAATATTGTGTTGATATAATCATCCAGCAGAGTCAGTAATACGGGTGACCATGGATTGGCAGCGAGGACGCTACTGTTGTGAAGCCAAGAAGAAGACACTAGTGATTCTGCCCGGAATTACGCGCTACAATTGTATCTGTCCCCATCTTTATGAAATATTTTGCGGCGAAATCTTGTTTTTCGGGCTTACAAAATCCAACTCGTCCAAGAATTTAAGCCCAGCAACCATCAAGCGCGTCGCACTTTCGGTTTTCATTCAAAAAGTCGATTGGAGCGAGTTGATGTGGACAACCTTAGGTGGCAGCTCTGGCGGAGTTTGGACGCATGAGCCTTATCATGAGAGCACACACTGCGGTCGCCTGACATGAGTAGAGCCATCTTGCGTACCGAGCGGCAGACAAAACTCAAAACTCATTTTCTTCTATTTCTTCTTTTCTGCTTCTTCTTTAAGTTTTGTGTTTTAAATTCTCGTCTTTGTTCTTCCCCTCACAATCCCACTTGAAGCCTTTCATTCGCGCTTATGCATAGAGACATTGAGAGATCCCAAAATCACTTCATTCACACGAACTGAAAATTATGGCACACCGCATCTGACCGTTTCGTACACCACAAAACATATAATTTGGGTTTTACGCTGACAAAAGTAAGTATAAGAAGAAGAAGAAGAAAAAAAGCCGAATTGCATTGCCTCAGCTGGAGGAAGTCAACTTTTTCATAAACACAGCTGAAAATATACCGGATAAAGACATCAACGCCAAGCGAGGTCAGCGACAACACTCAGAATTAGTGTGTGTGTGTGTGTGTTCACAGACGACGATACAAAAGCGATAACAAAGCATCAAAACAAATGAATTAAAAAGTCGACTATAACATTTTCATACGCATTACGTTTTATTGTTGTTTTTTTTCACACTTTATTTTCATATGCAAATCCACGGCCAAACGCTATGACCACGAAACAGCAGTAAAGACAGCCAACAGCGCGAGTTCGTGCGACGTCGAGTGAGCGCATGCTCGGTAGGGCGAATAGAAGCTGGTGGGCGCTGACACGCATGCGCAGCGGGAAGCAAGAGTACGTTAGAGTGTTGGCAGCAGCAGGGAGACTGCACCCGAAAGAGGGAGGAAAAAGGTAACAATTATGTTGTTCAAATGTGATAAACAGGCGGAATACGCATTTAAAGGGTAGGAAGGAAAGGGAGAAGGAAAGGGAGATGGAAAGTAGACGTTAATGAGCCTGACTGCACATACATATCTACATACATACATATGCATTTTTGCCGCATACATATATGTATAAGTATGTCTATATGTACATAAAAATGCAATGCTGAAATTCATATTTCTAATTCTCTCCCAACACAAGTCAGCCTCTACACTGGTCATTCACGCTTGACCATTGAGTTGGTCTCGTGTGGCAGCTCGTTCGACGAGCGTAGTTACTGGGTGGAGCCGTACACTCAACATGCCCCTAATAAGTGGACGAGGATTTGCTATACACACACTTACACACACACACACTCAACGGTAAATTGACATGATCAATGGGTGTCGTCGAGTGGACCTAATGAGCTCACGGCAAATGCTTTTTCACGCCTGCGAGCCTGCGACCCTGTTGGCATGTGAGCATCTCTGCATGTCTCTTCCTTAACGTCTGCTGGCTATTTGGCCATTATTGGTCATTCTAACTAGACCGCCCCAAATGACGCCTCAATTGCTGACCACCGCCTTGTGCCGTGCACACACATTCGCCTTAGAAATATGTATTTACCTACGGAGCTAATAAAATTGATCGGTGCGATGAAAGGCGAACAAAGCTGTGAAACGAACTCGCCGAATTGTGTAAGGAAAGGTGTGATTTTGCGAGAGTGTACTTTTGTTGTGTCTTCTATTCTATAATTTTGTCCATTTTTCATTTGATAAATAGTCTTTTTGTACTTGTATTTTTGAATGGTATTTTGCACATTGCGTACGTGACGTGTCTAACTGTATGTTCATTGCATAATTACACTCCACTCTTGGCTCTTCGGTCTAATTTGGCTTACCACACTTACTGGCCAATGGGGTGTGAGATTCCATGAATGAGTGGCGACAGTAGCGGTTCTTTTTATGGTTTTTGTATCGACTAAGCGCCTCTTTGGCGTTTCTTGTAGTTTGCTACTCTTCAAGGGAATTTCTACGAGCAGGTGATTTATTTCCACATTTTGCTACTAAATAGTCTTTTGGAAATGTGCAGACCAGCGTGTGGCCAAAACAGCAGCAGGCAAGGTGTCAAGGTGTTTTTTTCTTTCAACTACAATTTAGTTGCGAAAACTGCTTGCTTTAAAGAGTTGAGTTGAGTTGATGCGGTAAGGTCTGAAGGCCTACAGTGATACCGCTTTGAGGCTCCTATCTACACCTTCTGAGATGTACGCTCCATTTCGTGTGCCTTGTGCAAGTTGCGTTACTGCCTATACCAGTCGTTGCTACTTCAGCCAGACAATCAAAGCAGTGTTGTTCTAGATATTTATGTCGCATGATGTTTAGGGCTGGACAGTGGCAGACTTTCCTTCATCTTCGTACCTGCAGCTACGCCAAAATTTCTTAGCACGATATACCATTCTCCTACCGTAAGGTCCCAGGGACATTATCGCTTTAGTAAACCAGTTGTTGTATTAATGGTCTAGGCGGATTAGATCTCTTAATCTTTTAAGGTCCAGCACAGGCCAAAGCCGTCTAGTCACGTTGCCGGTTTCTTCGTTAGGCCATTTGGTGTTATATGTTTTGGTGACAAGGCTACACCTGCGATGTGCGTAGAATTTCTTGTTAAGCTCATCTGCCTTACAGTTCCCTTGGATGCACCTGAAGCACTATGTCCGGGCACCACGGCTATGCTACATCTAGCTGAGAGCTGGTTTAAAGTGCGTCTGCATTTCAATATAAATGATTTATTGTTGTCTTAATTAACATATCATTTATAAGAAACAGAGTTCATTGAAATTGTATTTAAACAAATTAAAAATATTTCTTTACAGAAAAGGGATATCGATATACTTTTGTAGTCCAAATAGTATGCTTCTGGGAAGTTCTAGAAAGAGAGACA